ACAGGCCTCTGGGCTGGTAGAGGCAGAAAATCATTTAAGAAACTTTTATGTTAATTCAGGCAAGCGAGTGTGACTCAGACAGTGTCCACAGGGGACGGATTCCAGAGCTCCTTTAATCTGCACTCACAGAATCTGCTTTTATCAGCAACACAGCCAGATAAAGCATTGCTACTAACCATTTATGCTCACTTTACTTCAGCAGAAAGAAATGTTTTCTTGAAAGTGTAATTTAGGAGTGTCTTCTTTTCAAATTTAATATAAAATAAGGGGAAATGTCCAAGCCATATAGGATGCCACCCTGTTGTTTAGCTGGCATAATGGGTATTAGCTGGACAGTTTTCCACAATTAATAGCTTTCCCCCAAGAAAAAACAATAAGCTTTTACAACCTCACATCGTGTGGTGGAAGCCTCTTAAAGAAGAGGAACAGAATCAGACACTCACTAAAGGAAGAGGGCCTTAGTGATTTTCCCCGAGGGACTGGAAGAAGCAGAGGAGTAGTTGGTGGCAGGTTGAGGACGCCTCAATAACAGGCCGATGCTCCAATCACAGGCCTCTGTACAGGCCTGTGAGTAATCACCCGCCAACGCCTGGATCCAGAGGCTGCTGCAGTTATCTTTCATTGCTCTGTATGTGACACCCTGGGCCTGCAGTGTAGCATGCGGCAGCCAAATTCGTCACTTGAGTTCCATCGATCCGGCAACTCTGATGGGCTGCGGCTGTCTCCAGTCTCTGAATCTCCAAAGATTATGGTTTTGCACTCCCTTAAGATCTTTCACTTGATTTTGAACTGTCGCTTGTTTCCTTATGCTAGAATGTGAGCTCTTAGAGTCTGGGGATCACAATGCTCCTCAAAGTGGGTGCTATGCTTTGTTAAATGAAAGAATCATTCAATAATTCAGGTAAATGCATTTACTTAAGTAAGGAAAGTGAAGTTCTTCAACTCTGATCTGGAATTCTATTAAATATTTACCTTGGTCATATACCCAGGAAAAAATGTTAGATTCTTCTTATCATCGCTGTTCAGCTCAGGATGCTTCTCAGATTGATCACAGAGCTATGGAACTGAAAGGGGCATCTAATCCAATCCTCTTACATTCTTTAAGAACCAATTATTGTAATCAAGTAAAAAAAAACCTCCTTTTTGTTTTGCCTTTTATAAATTTATGAACCTAAATTAACTTTATAGAAAAAGAATCGAATCTCTCCCAATCTCTTCTGATCTTTGTGGAGAATAGGAAAAGCAGGAGGCAGAGATACTGTTCGGAGACACCTGGGCACCAGCTCTGCATCCTCTCCCAGAATGAGGATGCACCCTTGCTGCTGATCAGTTTGGTTCACTCTGACATGCAGGTGTTCTAACTTAGAACACTCTTTGATATTCCCTAAAACATAAGAGCATACAGTCTTAGTATAAATTCCTTAGGAAGGTGCTGATGAGGTAAGTCTCAATAGAAAGCGTCTTGGTGAGAGACTGGCTTCGTTAGCAGCTCTGGAATGCTCACTGACTGAGTGAAGAATGTCAGCAGCAGTTGCACAGCCCACAGGAAAACAAGAGACATGCACAAAGTCAGCAGAGAAATGCTGCTTCTGCTCCTGCTTTGTGTAGCCACCTGGCTTCTGCTAAGTTTTGTTTCCTTGGCTAAATAATCGGGAAGCAGTGAGTATGTATGTGTGCTGGATGTGGCCTCTTCCTGCTAATCTGTAACCTGCCTATATTACTACACTTTAAAAACTTTTATTTTTAAATAATTTCAGACTTATGGAAAAATTACAAGAATAGTACGAAGAATTCTCATTTTTACCCAGATCCAAATGTTAACATTTTATCATATTTATTATCTTCTCCATTGAAAGGTATTATTTTCTCTGAACTGTTGTGGATATTATACCCCTTTACTCCTAAATACCTGTGTGTATTTCCCAAAAGCAATGACATTCTCTTACATAATCACAATACAATGATCAAAATCAGGAAGTTAACACTGATACAATGCTATTATCTAATATACAGACTTTATTAATATATTGTCAATTGATCCTATACATGTCACATCTACTTGTCATATTAATGGGATCATAGAGTATGCAGGCTTTTGAGACTTGGTTTTTTCACTTGGTGTAATATAGTTTAGATTCATCCATGTTGTCATGTGTATCAATAATTTGTTCCTTTTTTATTACTGAGCAGTATTTCATTGTTTGGATTATAACACAATCTGTTTATCTCTTCCTCAGTTCAGGAACATTTGGGTTGTTTCCAGCTTGGAACTACTACAAATAAAGCTGCCGCGAACATTCATGCACATGTTTTTGTGTGAATGTGAGTTTTCATTTCTCTAGGATAAATACCCAGGAGTGTGAGTGCCGAGTCACATCATAAGTCTATGTTTAACTTCATGAGAAAATGCCAAACTGTTTTCCAGGGTGGCTCTACATTTTACATTTCCACTAGCTGTGTACAAGGGATCCAATTTCTCTGTATCCTCACCAGCATTTGGTATCTCATTGTAGTTTTAATAGGAATTTCCCTAGTGACTTATAATATTGAGTATCTTTTCATGTCCTTCATAGCCATCCATATAGCTTCTTTTTTAAAGTGTCTGTTCAAATACTTGACCCATTTTAAAAAATTAGATTGTTTGTTTTCTTGTTGTGTTTTGAGAGTTCTTTATATATTCTGGATACAAGTCCTCTGTCACATATGTGATGTGGAAATATTTTCTCCCAATCTATAGATTTTCTTTTCATCTTCTTAACATTGGTGACAGAGAGCATGCTATGATTGAAGAAATGATAGAAGGCCAGTGTGCCCAGACTACAGAACATGAAGAAAGTGGTATGCAGTAGGACTGGAGAGGCAGCCAGGAACTTACAGACCATGTTGAGGAGCTTGGCATTTATTCTAAGGGCAGTGAGAAGCCATTGAAAGCTATTAAGCAGAGGGGAGACACAAATGTCTCTGTGTTTTTCTTGTTTTTGTTTTTGTTTTGAGGAAGATTAGCCCTGAGCTAACATCTGCTGCCAATCCTCCTACTTTTGCTGAGAAAGACTGGCCCTGAGCTAACATCCGTGCCCATCTTCCTCTGCTTTATATGTCGGACGCCTACCACAGCATGGCTTGCCAAGCAGTGCCATGTCCGCACTCGGGATGTGAACTGGCGAACCCCGGGCTGCTGAGGCAGAACGTGCGCACTTAACCACTGCGCCACCAGGCCGGCTCTATCTGTGTTTTTAAAAAGGTCCCTCTGGCTACATCTTGAAGAATGGGTAACTGGAAGGGGCTAAAGTGGTTTTATGGAGACCAGTTAGAAAGTTACTGCAATGGTCTAAACAAGAAGTGATGGAAGCTTAAACCAGCGTAGTGGCAGTGGAGTTGGAATGGACGTGTCCAAGAGATAATAAGGAAGTGAATATCTAGCTAATACGCATTGCATCCAATATGTGAAGGAAAATGTTTAATATTTCAACAGTATATCTGTGTTTAGTTGTAGGTTTTTCTCAGATGTTCTTCATCTAAGGAAGGTTCCCTTCTAGTTTCGTTTGCTGGGAGGTTTTTGTTAAATCGTAAATACATGATGAACTTTGTTAAATGCTTTTTCTGCGTCAGTTGAGATGATTACGTGCTTTTTCTTCTTTACTCTGTGGTGAACTACATTGATTTTTGAATGTTGAACCAACCTTGGATTTGCTAATCAAGTTTTACTGAGGATTTTCATTAAATTTAAGAGAGCTCACCAGTGGAGTCCTATGTGCTATTTTCAGCAGGTCTTCCCTACACCGTCTCTAACTATGATTACAAGGTGCCCTTCCACTGCTTCTACTCGTACTTCAAGACCCCGTTAAAACAGCACGTCTTCCATGGACAATTTGTCACTCCTATTCACTCCCTCCCTCTTCTGAGACCCTCAACTCTATTTTGTCTCATCCTTCTCTAACTATTTCCACATGATCACTGACCTTACCTGACTAAAACTCCTCCAAAGGCTGTTTGGTTCATCTCAGTGTTTCTAGCGCTTAGCATGGGGCCCAGTGTGGAGTATGTGCTCAGTAAATGCGTGGACTGAATGAAAGGATAGAGACAGACAAATCAGGGGAGGAAGGCTTTGTCTCTCTGAGCTTCAGTGCTGACAGTGTCATCCTTGCACAGATACATAATAGGTGAGGCCTAGCAGTTGGGCTGGTGCTTACCGAATTCGAACTTCCGTGTCCCCTTTGCTGAAGTGAAAGCAGTTTAGAAGCCACTATCCTTTCTTGTTGCATTAATCTTTGTTAAACACCTTACCTTAAATACCCTTGGGAGAATCTGAGAGACTGATAGGTAGGTTTTAAAGCATCAATAGAAGTTTTCTTGGAGCTAATTGGGAAAAAGGCTCAGAAAAAGGAATAGTGCAGAGATTCTTAGGAAGTCTTTCCACAGTCCAAATTTTGGCATAGTGTGCAAGTGCTTTTTTTCTCCCACCTCACCTCCTTCCACTCCCTCACCTGTCACTTACACTCCAGTCATACTGAACTACCTATACTTCCCTAGGTTTTTCTTTCCTCTGAGCCCTTGTACACGGTATTCCCTGTACTTTGAATGCTTTGTTCCCCTGATTTCCTTTCATCTGGCTAATTCCTGTTTGTCTTTTAGATCTCACTTTAAATGACACCTCCTCTAGGCTGCCTTCCCTGACTGCCTGCTCCAACCCCCCAGGTCTGAATTAGGAGCTCTTTCTCCATGTTCTCCCAACAGCCTGAACTTACTTCCTTTTAGCACTTGTAAAACTACCGAAATTTCTCTTGTCTTCTATATTTTTCACTAGACTTAGAGCTCCTTAAGGGCAGCACTTGTACTTTTTGTTATTCCCAGGGCCCAGAACGATGCTTGGCACAGACTAAACCTCAGTAAACATTTCTTCAATGAATGAATGGGTGAATGAATGAATCCCACAAGAATACCAATTTTAAAGAAAGATTAAAAAAGCAGGTGGCTGGTATACTTTTTCTTCCCACACCCAGCATTCTCCTGGTGTGCAGCCTGCAGATGTGGAGGAAGTTGTCCAGAAGGGTGTGCAGACCCTTGTGATTGGCCGAGGGATGAGTGAGGCCTTGAAGGTAGGTATTGGTGAGCACAGCATTCCTAAGGACAGTTGGTGACCTCTTGGACCTTTACCTTAGAGAGATGTCCTTCTTGGGAGTTCATCTCTATATATCATCCTCATTTTGCTGATGAGCCAGTGGATGGCCCAGGATAAAATAATGGCTGCGTACTACTCTGCCTCATCAGGGTTGGACTCTCCAGTTTCCACTTAACCCTAGGCCTGTATTATTTCAACTATTTCTCAGAACTTCCTCATTCCTGGAATTTCTCAAGCAATATTTGGTTCTTTAGATTTTTATAGTACTTTATATTTTGATTGTACATTTTTATAGTACTTTTTCTTTTCTTGGACACATTCAAGTTATGGGGGGTTTTTTTCCCTTTCAGAAAAAAAAGTTATTTTACGTACAGAAATAATACATGCTTTTTGTAAAACAGTCAATGCAGAAAGGTAGAAGAAAAAAGGTGAAAGATACCCCTCCCCAATCTCCATGCTGGATATATGCTGCTCCAATTCTCTCTCCATGCATCTGCAAATAGATACACACTTACACATATACAGTATACTCTTAGAACTGTTTTTACATAAATAGGATCACACTACACATGCTGTCCTGTCACTTTTATATACTTCCATTATTACACTGTGGACAGCCTTTCACATAAGTGTATAGAGATCTACCTCATCCTTTCTTTTATATAAATGTCCTAAAATCCAGTTCCCTATTGATGGAGTCCTTTATTTATATTTTTTAGTTTAACCTAAAATAATTCCTATCTATAAAACTATTGTTATAAAATTGTTCAAACATATAGAAAAGTAATATAGGGCATTGAAAGAAATATTTCAGAGCTCTTTCTGAGGAGGCAGAGTCTAATTAAAATCTATTTAAAATAATATGCAGGACAAGCAAGGCAGAGTTAAGAAAATATCCAGTAGTAGCTGCCACTATGACAATCTTTTATATAAATTCATTTACAAATATTTATTAAGCACCTTCTGTGAGTCGGACGCTATTCTAGGCCATGGGAACAACAAGATAAGACACACAAGCTTCATGGTCCTCATGGATAATAAAAAAGCAGATGATTTCAGATCGTAATTAATACTGTGAAGAACATGGTGACTTATGAGAGGCTGCTCTAAGTGGGGTGGTCAAGAAAGGCCTTTCTAATAAGATATTTAAGCTGCAGTATACAGACATTAGTTAACTTCATCTCACACCAACCCTGTGAAGTAACTATTATTATCCTCATTTTACAGGGGAGGAGGTTGGGGTTGAGAGACTTTAAATCGTTGGCCTACCGTCTCTTGGTGGGTACATGGCAAAGTTAGAATGTAGACTTAGGTTGACTGACTCAAATATTTAACATTTACATAGTCTGGTCAGGGCTCTGTAGCATGCTAGACATTTTACTTACTTTAGCTAAATTAGTTCTCATACCAATTCTGTGAGCTAGGTATTATTATTGCTATTTACAGACATGGAAACAAAGGTTCAGAGAATTTAGCTAACTTACCCAAGGTCACACTGCTGGTAAGGACTTAAATCCAAGGCTGTCTGATTCCAAAATCCACGCTCTTTCCATTTCCATTTCACTTGAGCTTTATGCATACATATCATGATACTTCTGTCAACTTCTTAGAAGCCTCTTTGACTCCTTGGGTCTCACTGCCAAGGTTTGGACTGGTGACATTCTGGGTGATTGAGGAGTGAAAGTTGTCACTGTCCACTTCTGTAGAGTACACTTGCCTCATGGCAGTAAGGAAATCTTAGGGGGCCTTTTCCCTGACTTACTCATCTTTTTCCTTCTTCCTAGGTGCCTCCATCAACTGTGGAGTACCTCAAGAAACAAGGCATTGATGTGCGAGTCCTCCAGACAGAGCAGGCAGTGAAGGAGTATAACGCCTTGGTTGCCCAAGGTGTCAGAGTGGGAGGGGTCTTCCATTCCACCTGCTGATGGAGCCTTAAGAGAATAAATCACTAAGCAGCCATGCCTGTGACTATTACTCTTACCGCTCTCCACACCAGCCTCCCAAGGGTTTTTGAACAGCTGCTCATGCCAGGTCCTGTGCTAGGTTTTGGGATGCATGGATGACTAAGATCCCTGTCCTGGGGAGAGAGGGGACTGGAAATCAGGAGAGGAGGCAGATGTTTACCAAAGCTTAATAATGTGGTAAATGTTAGGCCAGAAGTATTACAAAATAAGGCAAAAACAAAGAAAGCCTTCTGCTTTGAAGACCAAAGAAAAAATCTCAGTGCATTAAAATCACATTGCAATTCACGCTTTGGATTGTTTAGCCATCAATTCAACCAATATTTATCAAATACCTTATATGTCAGGCACTGCTATATGCTCCAGAGAAAAAGCAATAAGTCTTGTCCTCATGAAACTTATATTCTAGTAGGGAAAATAAACAAGTAAACGAATAAATATATAATGTAAGTAGACTCTTATGAAGAAAAGCAGGTTGAAGACAGAGTGCTAGGGGCTATTTCAGATAAGTGGTCAGGGTTCTAGGCAGGCTGTTCTGCTAACTAACTAAACCTGTGCCCCACCAGACAGGTCTCTGGGCTTCAGATTCCCTCACTATAGAAAGATGGGGCTGGACTAGATGCCCTTTAATGATCCCTACTGGCATGAATCGTCTTTGTTCTGTTAAATATCAGCTGGCCTTTGTGAAGCCTTAGAATAGACTGATAGAACTATAATAATTTATCAGCATAACCTTAGTTTTCATTTTCTCCTTCTCTTTAAAGAGTTATGAGTATGGGCTTTGGTGTCAAATAGCCTTGATTTTGAACTGTGGCTTTCTGCCACTCACTGGTTGGGCACTTATATAATCTCTCAGAGTTTCACTGTTCTCCTCTGTCACATAGGAATAACATTAGCACCTGGAGTTATTGCAGGTATTAAAGGGAGTAATTCATAGCAAGTCTTAGCACCACACCTGGCATGTAGTAAGGACTCAATAAATTGAAGCCACTGTTGTGATTATCTTTCTATTAATGGGGCTGCTGTCTAAAGCCTGTTAGTTTCATTTTATGGTTCTTAATACAGCAGCTTGCTATTTCATAGATTCATAGAATGTTGAAGCCCAAAGGAACTATCTACTCTCATTTATTCAGTAATTCTCTTTCATGCCTATTTACTGAGTCTCTTACTACATTTTTTTTTTTAAGATTTTATTTTTCCTTTTTCTCCCCAAAGCCCCCCGGTACATAGTCGTGTATTTTTAGTTGTGGGTCCTTATAGTTGTGGCATGTGGGATGCCACCTCAGCGTGGCTTGATGAGCAGTGCCATGTCCACGCCCAGGATCCGAACCAGCGAAACCCTGGGCTACCAAAGCGGAGCATGCAAACTTAACCACTCAGCCACGGAGCCAGCCCCCACTACTTTTCTTATGACCAGTTATTGCTGGACCCTGGGGGTACAAGAATGAATAAGTTATAGTTCCTACCTCAGGAGTTATGTGGGAGAGACAGACAATAATGATACAGTGTGTTAACATTATAATAGTTACAAAGTCCAGTGGTGGCACAAAGGATGGACTAACTTACCCTACCAGGATGGAAGGAAAATTAGGGAAGACATCACTAAGGACATAACACAAGCTGAGTCTTAAAAGAACGAGTTGTACATTTATTCACCAAACAGTTGGCAACTCTTTAACTAGATTTATTTACTAGGTATGGTTTTTGTCATGGCTATAACTAAGCAAAATTGCTCTACTCCCGCCCTTGTTGAAGCAGCAGCCCCAGAAAGCTGATTTTTGCTGCACATGATCCTATCACCTGGTTTGCTCAGTTGGGCATCTGATCTAATGGGAGCCAAACCATAGGCTGAGCAGCAAATTTTGTTTCTTTAGCTTTTTGCTAAGGAAAACATCTGTTGCCAATCTTCCTCTTTTTGTATCTGAGCCACCACCACAGCATGGCCACTGACAGATGAGTGGTGTAAGCCCACACCTGGAAACCGAATCCAGGCTGCTGAAGTGGAGTGCGTGAACTTAAGCATTAGGCTACTGAGGCAGGCCCCTGAGCATCAATCTAAGATGTGGCTTGGCAAGAAAAGATGAGCTAAGACCATCAGAATGGAAAGTGAAGAGATTTTTCCAAGTTCACCCAGCAAGTAAGTGGCAGAGCCAGGATTAGAACCCAATGCTGTGTCTTGATTTCTTTCTACCATACACATCCTTAGGAGGCCCATGGGAGTGAGATCCTCACAGACCTGACACCCAGCCTAGAGGTCTGGGAAGGTCCTGCCCAGTGCCCTTTCTGCAACCAGTCATTTGTCAGATGAAGGATCTTTCTAGATCTCAGTTCCCTCGGCACATAAAGCCAGGCACCTACATAGCTAGGAGGGATGTTTAATAAATTCAGACTATTTCTCTTGATGCAATCATTTGTAATTTTTTTTTTTTTGGTCAAACGTAAGGTGAGGCAGCTCCAGTGGGTGTTGAATTAGGTGTGGGTATAATCAGTGTTCCCAAGTGAGTTGTCTCCACATTAAAGAGAACTTAGTACAAACTTCCTAAAGAAGTATCTGGCAGTGAGGTTACTACACTTTGTATAGAACCTGCTAATAAATAGCCCTACTTTTGAATCTGTTCTATATGGTCAATGCTAGAAATGTGCAGAACCTGGAGAGAAGCTCTCTTTCCCACATGACACTCTACTTAGTCCCATGTCTGGATCATTAAGCCCTTTGATTCGATTTGTAGGTTGAACAACCCTCTGCCCACACTTAATTTCTTCCAGCTTGAGTGGTTCCTACAAGTCTGCCAAGTGTGTACCTTTCTTCCCCTTAATTGTGTTTTCTGATGTCAATCATGTCAAAGCCAAATATAAAGTCCTTTCAGAAACTTCAGTCTCAGGGCTGGCTCTGGCAGACATGCCACGGTACTGCTAAGTTTGCTCTGGATCCATATATTCATTCATTCCTTCGTTGCCTGGTATGTGCCAGGAGCTGTGCTGGGGACACAAGAACACAGACATTCTTACTGTCCAGGTACTCACCAATTCGTTGGAAGAAATAGACATGTAAACATACAGCAAGGATGCAGAAGTTGCAAACTGTCACAAATCCACCCAGAGAGGTGCTTTGTTTGTCTCAGTAATTTTAACATTTACTTAGTTACCAAAAGTTTTAAGTTGGGTATTTTTTACATGAAAAAGCAGATTTCTGGCTTTTCTGAAAGATCTGACACCACCAGACCCACATTTATAAAAAACCAAGTGGAGCTGAATAGTAACTGCCTTCTGATAGACTGTGCTCTCATTCTAAAGTCTCTATTAATTTCCTCTAAGCCACTTGACTCCTTTTTTCCTGCCTACCTTCTTTAGGAGTCTGTGTTTGTGAACCTGCAATAAATACTATGCATGAAGAATGTACAGATGGGAAGAAAGAAGCAATGCACCAAGCCCACAGCAGACACAGGTCCTAGAATAAGGCTCAGTCCTGAAGAATGAGAAAGGCACCATAAGAAGAAGATGGGCACGGGTGTTAGCTCAGGGCCAGTCTCCCTAGCAAAAAGAGGGGGATTGGCAGCAGTTAGCTCAGGGCTAATCTTCCTCAAAAAAAAAAAGGCACCACAGGAAACAGGCTCAGGTCCAAAAGTCTGAGGCAAGAGAGCATGGTGAGCACTGGGAACAACTACAGGTAATTATCTGCAGCCGGAGAAGTACAGAAAATGTTTGGGACAAGGAGTATGAGGCTGGAGACGACAGGAGGGGCATGAAGAGCCTTCAAAGATAGGAGTTTAGACTTTATCCTGGGACCAGAAGTGATCCACTTAAGGGGCTTAAGCAGAGGAATGGCGTGAGCAGGTCTGGGTTTTCGAAAGATTACTGACAGCTGTGTGAAGAATGGACCAACGGGGAAGATCTGAGGCAAGAAGATCATTAGGAAGCCAATGCCATATTTTACGAGATACAATGGTGGCCTGCATCAAAGTAGAAACAGTGAGTATAACGAGAAAAGGAGTGAGTCAAGAAACATTTGGAAAAGCAGAATCTGAAGGACTTGATGGCTGTTTTTATATGAGGGGTGAGGAAGGAGTCCAAAGTGACACACAGGTTTCTGGCTCTGATTGCTGGGTGCGTGGTAGGCCACTGACAAAGACATGGTAGACTCCTGTTAGGAAAACCATATTGATTCAGGAGGCTGGTCCAGCCTTGACTTCACCACAAACTCGGTCTCTGGGCTCACACCCTCACATGTGAAATGGAGGTGCCACACCAGAGTGATCTTCATGCTCCCTTACAGGTCTTTGTAATATAAGGTCATTCTTCCACTTCAGTGAAAAAAGTAGGAACCAGATGCAGAAAATCAAGATTCTCATATTTCACAGAACCTGAGAATTCAGGGGAAAAGGAATTTAAAACGTTGAACCGAACCCCTCATATGATACTTGAATTCCTTTGCAACAAACTTGTCAGGAGTTTGTTCACATCCACCTGGAGAATCTCGTATCTCCTAATGCAGCCCGTCCCATTCTCAGCTGTAAAAAACTCAGCCTGCTACTAAGCGGAGACCTGCCCCTTAGTGTAGCTCCACCTTTGGTAGAAAAAGCACTATACTTTGTGTTTTAAGACGTGGGATCAAGTCCTGGCTCTACCCCTTAGGAGAAAGATGACCTCAAAGCCTGTTTCCCTACCTGTAAAATGAGGGATAACCTGGAAGGATTTTTGTAAAAAGAGTACTGTATCCAAAAAGGACCCAGTATATCCCTCCCTTAGCACGCTTTCTGTAGCTCCGGCACGAGGGGCTCAGTCAGCAGCCCTGGGTCTTAATGTTTTCGTCTGTGCTTCAACCCAGCAGTCGTCGTTAGGTGCTTGTGTCAGGGCTGTGGTATTATTCAGCCTGACTTGAAGCATAATTTTATCTCCAAGGCAAGGCATCTTGTCGTTGACATACGAGAGCCCACCAGCGGCACATACTTGAGATGTACAAAATAGGTGAGCAAGCTAGAAAAAGTAAGCTCCTTGGAGAT